AGCTCCGAAACAACACGCTTTAGTCTAACCCAGTGATGGCGAACCTATGACACGCGTGTCAGGGGTGACACGCGAACTCATTTTTTGGGTTGGTTTTTCTTTGTTAAAATGGCGTTTAAATACATAAAATAAATATCAAAAATATGTCTTTGTTTTACTATGGCTGCAAAGATCAAAAAATGTCTATATGTGACACGGCACCAGAGTTAAGTTAGGGTTTTTCAAAACGCTGACACGCCGAGCTCAAAAGGTTCGCCATCACTGGTCTAATCCTTCCTTCCTTTGGCCACGATACATAATTGCTACAATACATTTTAGTTTACGAATACTGTCTCTGGATCCTTGAAGAAGCTTGGAGAACAATGAATGCATGAAACAAGGTAGCAGACACCTGAATGCTCTCTTCCTGAACTCTTCCCAGGATCGAAAATCAGAGCCCGTAAAAGATTAGGGAGCCCGGGACCTAACCTGGGGTCCTCCTCAGAGTCTGGTCCTGGCCCCTCTTTGCTCTCAACCCCACCCCCACCCTCCCCCACCCCCCGCTTCTTTCTAAGTCACGGGTGGGGAACCTTTTTTCTGCCAAGGGCCATTTGGATACTTACCAGAATAAGGGCCTGGAAATCACTTGGCCTCTGGCCCTGCCAAGGCATTAGGGGTGAGTTAACGAACTGTTGGACCAAACAGAGCAGGCTGGTTTCTAAGTGGGTCGTTCTGTATGGCCCGGGAGTGATATCATAAATATGCAAATGACCCTTGGCAGGAAAAAAGATCCCCGCCCCCGAGAATGGTGGCCCACTAGATAAAATCTATTCTGTGCGTAAGAGAGGGGTGAACAACGGTTATGCGACAAAACCACATCTGAACCCCAATGCCTCCAGGTAAACGACGCTTTGCTGTTTATCCTCGGGCGGAAGCTGTCCAGATGGGAAGCATCTTGAAGTTCAAGAATTAGCTTTTCTGGCCTTTACCTCGCGGCAGGTGTTCCATGCGCTCAGCCAGGATCCGTATCTCTGGATTACTTTCTCCTTCCAATAAGGCTCTGTGGAAATAATGATAATAATAACAATTCATTAGGAAATAGAGCACAAGATGGGCTCTGAGGGCCGCACTGTGGAGTCCTGGGTCGATGACCACAACATCACAGGCTCTGAGTTTGAGGACTTGTGTCTGAACGCAGACCCGGGGGGCAGAGCATCCATCCGACCGAATGAGCAAAATGAGGGTCTAGCCCTGGCTGGTTTTCTCAGTGGTTAGAGCATCAGCCCGGAAACTGAGGGGTCCTGGGTTCGATTCCGGTCAAGGGCATGTACCTCAGTTGCAGGCTCGATCCCTGGTCCTGTTTGGGACGCGTGCGGGAGGCAATCAATCGATGTCTCTCTATCTCTCTCACATCGATGTTTCTCTCTCTCTGTTGCTCCCCCTCCCTTCCACTCTCTCTCAAACAAGCAAATACACAAAACAACGACAACGAAAGCATTTGATCAGGTGATTTCTTTGGCCACGCCGAGCTCCAAAAGTCTAAGAAACTGCAGCATCTTCATCAGGTTGTGATTCCCGCCGGCAACCGAGAGCCCCGAGGACACTGTGGCCATGGCAGCTTTGGGCCCGCGGACCGGGCGTGCTGGGGCTGGGTCGGCCCGGGATGTCCCTTGCGCGAGGAGACCCTAGGAGGCTGGCTGCTGCGGGCACAACAATTGTCGCGTTGCCGGAGCGACGCGGGACGTCACTAACTTCCCTGCCAAGAAATAACACGCTGTGGATGGCAACGGGCAGGCAGCAGCAGGGGCCACTTGGAAACGCTGCTGATTACCGCTGAGAGCCGGGCACGGAAACAGAGGTGGGACGCCAGGGCCGGGCAGGGGCCTGGCCCTCAGGCAAACGGGAACCACGTTCCATGCCCACTGATTCCAAGGCTGGTGATTCCCACGGATACAGGAATCCCATGGGCGGCGGGGGGAGCCAGCCAAGGGGAACCCCTTCTTTTTTTTTCTTGATATATTTTTATTGATTTCAGAGAGGAAGGGAGAGGGAGAGAGAGAGAAACATCAATGATGAGAGAGAATCATGGATCAGCTGCCTCCTGCACGCCCCACACTGGGGATGGAGCCCCCAACCCGGTCATGTGCCCCGACCAGGAATCGAACTGTGACCTCCTGGTTCCTAGGTCGATGCTCAACCACTGAGCCATGTCGGCTGCTGGGTGGGGAGCCCTTTCTCATGAAAACAGCAAAGATGATGGCGAGATGGATTCTACGCAAGGTGTGTGCGGACAGGTTTGCCACGGACGCCGGGCCGGACACGTACACGTGTGCCGATGCCAGAAGACAGACGAGGGGCAGGGCCCGGAGCCCAGCCCTTCCACTCGGGGCAACAGCCAGGAAGCGGGACACCAGCCCATTAATCCCACACCCTCGTGACCAGGCGCTTCAGGTCCCAGGAACACAAATAGCTCCCGAAGCTGAGAAAATTCTGAGGCCTGTACCGGATCGGAGGAATGTTCTGGGTAAAAGGAAGACGCTGAGGTTGGGCGCCCGAGGATGCCACCGACAGCGAAGGGGCCAGGGTGGGGCTTGGTGAGAAGGCCATGTGCTGGTTCAGACCCGGCGGAAAGCCTCAGGTACCACAGGGCTTGTCGCGGCCCAAGCGGCCCAAGTCAGGACTGAAAGTGTTGGGGAGCACAGGTCAGCAGATTACATCCATGACAGGTGTATGTGGAGAGATGTTCAGGGGAAAGAAGATCGCTCGGGCCCGGCTGCCAGTGTGGCTCAGTGGATTGAGCATCGTCCCACACACCAAGAGGCCACCTGTTCTATTCCCGGTCAGGGCACATGCCTGGATTGTGGGCTCAAGCCCCAGGGGCGTGCAGGAGGCAGCTGATCGATGATCAATGTTTCTCTCTCATTGATGTTTCTATCTCTCCCTCTCTCTTTAAAATCAATAAAAACATATTTAAAAAAATAAAATAAAAGATCTCTCACCTGGCCACAGTGGCTCAAGGGTTGAGCATCGACCTATGAACCAGGAGGTCATGGTTTGATTCCCAGTCAGGGCACTTGCTTGGATTGCGGGCTCCATCCCCAGTAGGGGTCGTGCAGGAGGCAGCCGATCCATGATTCTCTCTCATCATGGATGTTTCTCTCTCCTCTCCCTTCTCTCTAAATCATAAAGA